TTGGCATGATTCTAACTCCATACCCTAGACCTGAAAACTAATCATTTTACCAGTACTACCTGTGCCCTGACATTACAGCAACTAATAATTAATATAGACACTAGTCAAGTATTGTTTTAAGACAAACTTGTGAAGCTATTCTTTAAGGGGTATTTTAAGTTGCAGCACTATGAATGAGAGTGGATCATTATGCTGAGCTGGTGTATTTTTCTTCATGGAGAGGAACTCAAAAAATTTCAAAGAAAATATCAGATGTCATAGTGTTTGTATTTGACTTTCTTGCTCTGAAAAACTCATCTATGATCAAATTTTCCATTTGTTTCAATAAAAAAAAAAAACATAACTTCAAAATGTCAGCACTTTCAAAATAAATGAATAAATTTACCTCAGGTTACCATATGTCCCTTGTCTGACATTTTGGTGAAACATTCAAGCCAGAGCATATACAAAGGATTTATAAAATCTCATCAAACCTAAGACTATTGCTACAGTTTATGTTGATGGGAAGGCCATTTTAATTAAAAAATTTAAAAGAATATTTGGTATGTGATCTTCATACTCTAACCATCAGATTACTGTTAGTACAATGTATCTAATCAAGGATCTAAAGAAGTTGAAGGAATTTCCGCTGCAGTGATTTAGGGCATTTCAACAGCGGAGTATGCAGTATTATTGCCATTTTTGTTGTTTTTGCCAATTACTCTGTAAGGGGTACAGTGGGATAATGTTTAATCACAGTACCTGCTTGTACTAACCACCTGCACTCTCCCCTCCTCCTGCCGCCTGGGTCTTTGACCCTGTTACTTAACATATGTGACTGAAAGTTCACTGGGTCACCAAAAAAACAACTGGGATAATTACCACGATTCTGATGGTATTTCCGGTCACAAGTTTTTCCAGAGCGAGTAAGACGGGGGCTGCGTGACTTTTTCTTGTGTGGTTTTGTAATCCTGGGCTGTGAATTGAGGTATACTGAATAGAACTGCATTTCAGACAGCGTGTGTCAAGCCTCTTTAGCCTTTTCTGTCTTAAAAACAAATACTGAACGTGCGGTTAAGGCGGTAGCTTGCCATCCCCTGCAGTTGGCTTGTCATTAGTGCAGTATTTCATTATTGCACTGTTTTCATCAACCAGTAAAGAGAGAAAAGCACCTCTGCTACAATGTTTGGTTATTATGTCAACTAAGTGTGTTACCGTGGTGAAGACACTAGAGGCAGTGGACCAGGACAAACAGGGAACCAGAGGGATGGGCTTTGGCCAGTTAGTCACTGCCAGGGATGCCATCTGGACACAAAGACACACAAGGAACTTCATGAAAAATATGGTCTTTGGATATTATACTGGACCCACTTGTATTTGTACATGGGCTTGCATGTTAAATATTTACTTTCAAAAGCTTAAGCAAGGTGCAGGGAACTGTGGGTCTTCAGGATGAGAAGCATGTTGAATAGTTATTTAGTGTAATACTGGTAGAATATATGGGTTTAATAAAAGTGGTGACTCACATATCCTCCCATGGAGATGCCAGTCATTCCTAGTGGCCAGTAACCTTCTCTCTCCAGCCAACGGAGAAGCACTGTTGACTCCAGGATCAAAGCCCCTCCCATCACAAACAGGTCGGACACATTCTTTAGACTGGACCGCCTAAAATGCTCACAAATAACATCCCTGTTTACTTTACACTAAATAAATCCCAGTTCAAGCTTTAAAAGTCCAGTTGCACTCCCAGAGGTGTAACTGCAGGACAAGAGTTGCTCTGGGTTTGACTCATTCTCTCCTAGATTTTCCACCCTTGCTTACACACTGCCACTAAGGCGGGTACTGACTTGTTACAAGTTTGTGGTGGAGACTGATGTGTCTATAGCACAGAGTATCCAAATATATACATTTATTCACTTGGCTTTTGTGTAAGGTTAGGTACAAAAATCATGTCTGGCCAGATTCATAACCTTGTTTAACCAGGACATTACTGATTTAAATCTAACTTTTTTTATACTTATATTTTGTCTTACAGTCTGGACACACTGCACGCGTGAGCAGTGCATGACGGCTGTCTCACTGAATTGCTGCAGCTTGCACATCTGTGGTGTCCATGCAGAGAGCATTTCAATAAATAAATAAAAGCCTCATTAAAAATTCATGGATTCTGTCCACAAAAAAAACCCAGAGCTTTTAATCTGAAACAGATACAGGTGATACATAGTGAAAAGTGTATATGTTGGTGGTATAAGGTTAATATGACTCTGAACAGATTATGGCTGGTAACTGCACATGGAGAAAATAGGCAAAACTGTCTAGTGAAGCGGCGCTGCAGTCACGCCTGAGACAAACCCCTCACACGGGTAGTGCGTCTGCTCCAGCAAAAAACAAATGAAACAAAAAGTGTGATATATTTTTTCAAAAAACTCTAGTTTGGTATCAGCACAAGCAGACCTGTGACAAACAATTAATTGAATATTTGATTAAACTGTTGATTCTTTTCATTTAAATCAAATTATTATTATTATTTCATTATTTATCTTTTATAAGCTACTCTTTGTGCTCTTGTTATTTTT